CCCCCCCCTTGCATGCAGCCCTGTAGAACCAGCTAGGTAATAAGAGAAGGGCAGAGCAGATTTTATGTGGACAATCCCACTTCTCTCCCATTTGCTGGCAATAATGGAATAAATGCTCACATTTGATTCAATCTTGTCCTTGCTTAATTGGCTGAAGTTGCGACAGGCAGCCCAGACCCATTGTCTGGTTTCAGTAACAGTACGTCCCGCCCAGGGATGACGTGAGGATGGCATGAGATGGTGTGTGTAAAGCTCCTAGCACAGATCTGAGAGGGTCAGCAGGAGCTGCTTCCTGCCCCACACTCCTTTATCTGAGGCTAGATGAGTGGACCGGGGAACCTCCTCTGGATCACCCAGATGGGTAGTGTGCACAGTATGGCCACCAAGGCCCTGCCCTGGGGGAACCATTAAGAAGAGCCCTCCTTATTCTCCCCCTGTCCCCCCTCCCCCTGCCCCCTCAGCCTCCTCACTGCCTGAGCTCTGCTCATACTGAAGACTGAGCCAGTCATCTCAAGGCAAATGACAGGGCTGAGAACAAGCTTGGGAAGAAAGTGAAGGGCCTAGAAGCTGAGTTGAGGTTTGGGTAGAGGAAGGGAGGGTACCAGGGGGACCCTTGGGGACCCGGGTATTGGACTTGGAGTCCTCCAGGCCCGGGACTCCAGGCCCAGTAATGCCACTTCCCAGCCCTGTGATCTAGGGCAATTCTCCTTGCCTCAGTTTCTTCATATGTAAGATGGGTTGAAGGGCTTACTTTGAGGAGCTGTGAGGATGCCATGCACTAGAGTTAAAGGGCTACACACAGCAGGTGCTCAATAAATGCTCCTCAGGGGTGGGAGAGGTGGGAAGACAGGCCTACCGTACTCCAGGCCCTTCTGCGTGATCCTGAACACAACGCCGGGGTTGGTGGCCTCTGTCACAGCTGTGCCCAGGGCAACCAGCACGACCATGGTTGCCCACCTCTGTGTGCTGTCAGGGCCCCCGGCCATATCTTCTTCCTCCAGAGCTGGCAAAGCTGCGAGTCCTGGCAAGGAGCTGGGGACTATAAAGGAGCCGGCTGGGAGGGGAACGTTACATTCTAGTGTGACTTGGGAAACACAAGTTACACTAGAATGGGGAAAGGAGGAAGGAACTGGGTGGGGGCGGGAGAGGGGGAGGACGGCTGCCTGCGGTTCCCCACCTACAGCTGCCCACTGGTCCCCACTGCTTCCCCACCGAGGTTGGGGCCACAACCCCAGAGGCAGCCACAAGTGGAGTCTGGGAGGTGTGTGGTGTGTGTATGTGTGTGTGTGGTGTATGTGATGTGTATGTGGTATGTGTGTGTGTATGGTGTATGTGTGTTTGTGTGTGTATGTAAGTTGGGAACCTTTGGCTCTGGGCAACATTCCCCTCCCAAAGCACCCCCTTCCCCTCTCCGAGCCCCCACCCAAAGCCCTTCATTTAAGGACTTCTTGGAAGCTGGGTGGAGTGTACATCAGGGTTCATTATATTTTTCTTTTTCTCCTGACCTATTGAGGTCTAATTGACATATATAATAAAATTATATACATTTAAAGTATGTATATACAACATGTTTTTTAAAAAAGATTCTGGGTTTTTTAATTGATTTTTTTTGAGGGACAGAGAGGAAAGGAGGGAGAGAGAAACATCAGTTTGTTGTTCCGCTCATCTAGGCATTCATTGGTTGATCCTTGTATGTGCCCTCGCTGGAAATTGAGCCCACAACCTACATCTGTCAAAGGAAGGGGTAACCCACTGGCACTCTAACCAACCGAGTTACCTGGCCAGGGCCAGCGTAATGATTTGATATATGTATACATTGTGAAATGATTGCCACAACCAAGCTAATGAACACTTCCAGCATCTCGCATAGTTATAATTTCTTTGTGTGTGGTGAGAACACTTAAGATCTCCTCTCTTAGCAAATTCCTAGTATAGAACATAGTGCCCTCAACTATAGTCCCCGTGCTGTACATTAGATCCCAGAACTGACTCCTTTTATAGTTGAAAGTTACATTTTTCTTTCTACTTTTGATTTCCTTGATATTTTCCATAGTAAAACATTTAAGAAAACAGAACCTTTAGCGTTTTCTTGTCCTGAGAGGCTGTAGAGGTAATAATTAAATGCTTGAATTTTGGAGTCCAGGACCTTAGCTGTGGTTTTAAATCTTAGCTCTGCCACTCTGGCGGTTTGACCTTGATCAGGCCCCTTAACCTCTCTGAACCTCAATTTCTTTTTCTGTAAACTGGGAGTAATCAGGGTACTCTCCCTCCCAGGGTGATTGTGAAGACGGGAGAGGCTTTAACCCATGTAAAGCCCTTCTTAGCTCAATGCCTCTATAACAAGCACACAAGTGGTAGTTGCTAGTGTCATTCTGACTTAAAAGTAATCCATGTTCATTGGCTAAAATTTGAGAAAGAACTAAGGAGATAAAAATGTCACGCAGCCCGCATTCTAGAAACAACAAGCAGAAGGGTCTTAGGGGAGCTCCCTCCACCCTGCTCCTGTCTTCGGTGGGCACAAGCGGCCGTGCGCTTTCCTGACCTGGAGGAATGGGGCCCCGGGCCGGCCGGTTCTGCGAAATTCCCTTTTCCCAACACGCAGTATGCAGCCACCGTCGTCCCCGAGCACTAGGTATTCTCCGTGCATCACGTTTCATGGCTTCCTCACCCCACAGCTTTCTGCACCAAGGTTTCTTTTCCTTCTTTCATCTCTTTGACAGATGTGGGGGCTGAGGCTTTGCAGAGGAAGTGCTGTCCCCACAGCCACGCCGCCAGCTGCTGGCAGAGCTGGGATTCCCGCCGCCAGAGCCCCCAGACACATCCCACACCAGCCCGAGGCCTTCAGGGTCCTGGGGCTTGGGGGGAACGTAGACACTCTCCACCCTCACCCCCCACTTTCCAGACGGCGCTCCGTCTTCGGCTCCTGCCCCTCCCTTTGCAGCACCCTCAGGCCCTGGGTGGGCAGGGACCCTGCAGGGCAGCCAGCTCGGTCTCCATGGTGATGAGAGAAGGGGGTGGGCCTCCAGCCCCAGGCCAGCTTCTCTCCCTCGGCCCCCTGGAGCCCTGTCTCCCCGACTTTGATTTTATGAAAGTCTATTGAAGCCCGCTGAGCTGAGCCAGGAGGACCTGAGGCCTCCAGAATGTGTGTGGGGTTCCCCCCCCTTCTCTTTGCCTGGCTCTGAAAGGGCTTCCCTTCACACTCCCATCCACAACTAGAAGCCTTTTGCCTGCTTAAGAATGAAAACAGTGCCTGTGCACAGCACCTACTTTGTGCCAGGCACTTTACATATATTATCTCCAGGCCTAAAAGCAACCCATGAGGGAAGGATAATTTTGCTCCATTTTGGAGATGAGGGAACTGAGGCACAGAGTGATTATCACCTCGTTAAGGTCAAACCGCCTTTCATGAAGAGAAGACTTCTTCCCCCGACCTGGGTCAGTTGACAGGAGGACTTGTCACCCTGGGTCATCACCCCAGCTCTACCTTCCTGGGCCTCCAGAGTCAGATGTCTGTGTCTGTACAAGGAAAATAGCTCTAAGAAACCGCCAAAACACATAGATCGATGACCTGTTAGAAAATAGATTTTTCAAAAATTATATTACACAGTTTTGAACACCAGCAGCTCTAACCGAACAAAATTCCCGAGTCCCATGGGCCCAGGCAGGTATTGCATCGGTGAGGGTGTCACACAGGAAAGGAGCATGAAGATGGAATTCACATGACTATGGCTTACATTGCCACAAAATCAGAATCTTAAAAACAACTAGCAAGTTTCTGAGTAAGTCACCCCCCCACACTTCTCCCTGATGACCCATGCCCAGCCAAACCCAGATGCGTCCATCAGTGACCCTCCAGCTTCCTTCAGGACTGCCACTGGCCATGGAGTTGCCCCACTGCTTCAGATCTGATTCTACTTTGTTTGAGTGACAATGTCTTCAACCCAAGTAACAGGAATCCCAACTCACATCGGCTTCAACAATAAGCACATTTATTATCTCGGAGAAGGCAAGTCTGAAGTTCTGGTCGATTCAGCAGTTAACAGACGTTTACATCTCCCCATCTTTCTGCTCTGCCATCTTAGTGTCGCAGACTTACCTGACTTCTTTCACGGTTGCAAGATGACTGCAGCAGTTCCAGCCATTGCACCGAAACAGTCTTCTTCCAATGTCTCTTCCTCCTCTCCCTCTTCTTCCTTTTTTTTTTTGGTCTTTTTATTATTATTGTAAAATATTTCAAACATAAAGATAGGAATAGACCACCCAGGTTCATAAAATCTTAACATTATCCCATATTTATTCCTTATAGTTTCTTCTAGTTCTATGAATTTTAATACATGTATAGCTATGTGTAACCAGGACCACAATAAGGATATAGTTCCATCATCTCCTCAAACTCTCTCTTGCTATCCCAGCTCAACATGGCTTAAATCGTAAGGAAAGTATATTATCTCAGCAGGAATTCAGAGGTGAGGTGGATCGAGAGTTGGTTAATTCAGGGGCTGGTTCTGTTCATTTTTCTATTCTGCGGTCCTTAGGATGTTGACTTTTTCCAGAAGAAAGGTCATTGGGTTTGGAGCCTGCAGACCTGTGTTTATAGAGTCCCAGCCAGGCTGCCTGCTCTATGTGTGACTCTGGTCAAGTTCTTTGACCCTTCTGAAACTTGGGGAAACAATGCCCGCCATGGGGGTTGTTCTGAGGATTAAATGAGACAATAGCTATGAAGCAATCTGCATGGAGAAGGTGTTCAGTAAACAGTCATCATTCAACCTTCAGCACTAGCGGGCTCGAGAGGCCTTGCGTCCCCAGGAAAACACACTAGTGGCATCACAATCTGAGCTCTCGGTGCTCCAGTCTTGGGTTTGGGTTGGATACACGCAGAGAGAGAGGAATTCAGGGCCTGTATTGATTCTGTGAACCTGCCACTGGCAGCTGGGCTGTGAGAAGCTGCCAGCCCGAGCACGGCACAGCAGTGAGAGCTGGGCTGGGGACCTACACCTGGGTTTGAATCCCAGCTGCCGCTTACTTGCTGTGGGAGTTTGAGCTTAACCTTCCTAAACCTCAGTTTCTTCATTTGTCCCCGCACTCCGTTCTCAGGTAAGGCCCTTCTTCAGGCGCAGATGCTCAGGTTTGACCATGAGGCCATCCCTGTGGTCCACTGAGGCCCATAAACCTCTCCTTCCCCTTAGGCCCAGATTCTTCTGGTCTTTCTCGCCTTCACCCACCCTGTCCTGCCTCCTCTGTGTGTCTGGCTTCCAGTGTATGTTGTTAGTTATTTTCTGATCCTGGAGGAGGGATGCAAGAGTAGGAGGGGCTCGTGGTGGGTCCTTGGGGTGGAAAGGGAGGAAAGGAGTGGGTCCTCCAGTGATCTGTCCTTGTATCTAAAGGGCAGCCAGACATTTTGCGCCATGGAGATAACCTCTTGAGAGAATCTCTCTTATCTTGTTATGCTAAAACAGCATCTGTCTCCTGAGACTTGAGTCTCATAAAAGGGCCCCTTTAGGCACCCTGGTCCTGGAGGTGGGGAAAGATCTTTCCCATGGCATTATGATTATGATTATTATTGCAGCTTCAGAGTAGATCATAAGATATATTTAATAGTGAATAAATGAACGAAGGGTCAGAACCCAGAGCATAAATTCCAGACAATAAATATTTGGAGCCTGAGAAGGACATGCTCAGCCTGACCTGGCAATCCCCCCAGGCTTCCAGGAGGAGGCAAGAATTGACCTTGGTGGTGGTGGGGGGCAGCCCACTTTGGTGCCTCAGGGCTGGTAGAAGGAGATCTGCTTCTGAGACTGGAGGCACTGGCTTTGCATGAAGAACAGTTTCTGGGGAGAGCTGAAGGCTGAGGGAAAGGAGAACAGAAGTTGCTGGGGGTGGAGTGAAGGGGTGGCAGAGGGGAGAGAGAGTGGCTTTCACTTCTCCTTTCTCTCTGGAAACTAAGGAACCTGGCTTGTGTTATAGCTTTGGCTCTAGTAGGCTGGGC